TAGTAAACATGCTGGCACCTTCACACTGGAGAGTGAATACTTCTTTGGGATTAGGTTTTTGTTTGCAAAAGAAGCCAAATAAAGTAGTATTGGTACGTAGTACACATTACAGAGAGATCTATTCTTAATGGTCTAGCACAGGAAACCCTTCCTTCTTTTTCCTCCATAATTAAGATAGAATAAGAGTTCTTCTTCACACAACTCCAAATTCAGTAACTGTGGACGCGTCTGACGGGAAAGGTTAGTCTCAGTAAATTTACATCTGTGTACAGATGTACCCCTTCCTGAAACAGAATTAAAACCTTCTCCTGTAACAGAAGAGTTTTAAGTTCCGTTTGATTTTCTGCAGTTCCACTGTCTCCTTCAGCCAGTAAGCAAATGTGCTGTGAAGATGAACATTCTCCTTAAACACCTCTCTCCCAGTGCTGTTCACCTGCCTGGACAGAGGGAAACAAAATCCAAGAGCTTTAATCACAACATTTCCTGCTTTTTTTTATATTAAAATCAATATTTCAGTGTCCTAATTTCAGAGCTAAGCTGTAAAATTCATACAGGTCTGTAGCAAGTTTTCATATCTTTGCTTCTAGCCCTGCATCTGGACTGGGACAATGAAGAAAACAGCGGTACCATTGTGATAATATTACCTCCAGTTCTCCCCTGGAACCAGCATGAATCTTACAGTTTAAATGTAAGTACTGACATTATCTTGACATTTGAAATATAAAAATAGGCTAGGTCATCACTGATTTTGCCCTTCAAAGCCCATGTAATAACATGGGCAACTTGTTGTTTAGCAATCAGTGCTAAAATGGTTTTGTAAAGTAGAAAACGGGAAAAGCAACCGTGTTTCTTACAAAACAGCCTCACTCTGGGCAGTCTCTGCCATTATTTGCTTTTTCTCAACATCTTCTTCCAGTCTGTTCTGAGAGGGAGAAAAGCCTGTTTAAATTTTGCATGAGACCTGTAGCACCAAAGCTAAAATTTGAAACAGTACAAATTCTAAAATCACACCCACAGTTTTCAGCTCACCCAACTTCTTGCTAGAGAAAGAATGAATACCCGAGGCAAATGAAGTTCCTGATGGAAGTGAAGAATACGGCCTTTCTGGGATCCTGACATCCCACGTTTTGCCTTGGAAAGCTGCACCTTTCCTCCAACTCATTCATCATACTTGTATTGCCATGGGAAATTGTAAAATGCTCAGTAAAGAACTGTGAAAACTTATAAACCAGAGTAGTCAGTGGGAGAAATAATTTTGTTCTAATAGAAGTTTCCTTAGCTGCCTGTCAGTCTTTACTTTTTCTTCAAGAAACCTCCTCTCCAATTTCACAACCACTTCCTGATGTCTGCTGTTTGAAATCTCCATACTCTCTTAACTATGATAAAAAATAAGATTTCTTCAATAATGGCATTTTATTTCAGCCATACAACTAAAAGTGTGGATGTACTCTTCAGGAAGGAATTTGGTAGTCTTTCCTGACACTACCCACAGTCTTCATCAAATTTTTACACAATCTATAAAATTCACTTAACCTTCTGACTTGTATTATTGCTTTGCTTCCCCTTCATAGTTCACCTGTGCCCATATTTTCACATCACTGACAGTCATTCACACATGCTCTGTCACTCTGTTTGATGCTCAGTTTTAGAAATCTGCTTTACTTTGTCTGTTCACTCAGTCATCAAGATCATTCAAAGTCCAATGCCTCGTGTTCTTTGAAAAATGCCTAAATCACATTTAATATCTTAGCTTAAAAGCACCTATATATTAATAATCCAAATGCTGTTGACCAATAATTTGTCTCCATGGAAAGCATTTGGTATTGTTTCCAAGCCCCTTCTTGTGGCTGAAAAAAATTCCAGTAGAGCTGAGTCAGCAAGGCACTTGAATTGCTCAAGGCACTTTTTTTCATGTTATCCATCAGTCGGGATACTTTTTTATCCCAGGCTGAAATGTTTTAGAGGCAATATTACTATTTAATATTTGTATTATCGCACCAAAGTATATTCAATTGTCATGCATCTTTATGACAAACTTACATCTTCCAGCTCTTTCTCCATAGCTGCTTTCTCCCTGAAGAACTCCTTTATTAATTTCAGTTCTAATTGAATTTGGCCAATTTCTCTGACTTTTTCTGAAATTTCTCTTCCAGTTCTTTTATTTGTTGGGCATAATAGTCTGCCTGCAAATGCGAAATTCTCAGTAGAGAAGAAAACAAAATGAGAGAAACCAATCATCAAATATTGTAATATAAAACACAGAGCACACAGAACTGAATGTCTAAAATTATACCGAGCTGCAGTGTTTTAAAAAACACAAGGAATTAATCATTAGAAAAAACACTGCAAACTCAGCAGAAGCTACCCTCCAGTGAAATAACAACTCTAGAAATGAATGGTAAGTTTAAAGCAACATCCATAATATCATTGTATTGGGTTTGCATGCCAAGCTTTTGGCAGTGGGGGGGCTACAGGAGTGACTTCTGTGAGAAGCTGCCAGAAGCTTCCCCCATGTCCGATGGAGCCAGTGCCAGCCGGCTAGAAGACGGACTTGCCACTGGCTGAGGCCAAGCCCATCAGTGGTGGTAGTGGCACCTCTGGGATAACGTATTTAAGAAGGGGAAAAAAAACTGCTGTGCAACAGCAGTGGGAAGACAGGAGTGAGAATGTGAGCGAGGAACATCCCCGCAGCCCCCAGGTGAGTGCAGCAGGAGGAGGAGGTGCTGCAGGCCCAGAGCAGAGATTCCCCCCAGCCCCTGGTGCAGCCCACGGTGAGGCCGGCTGTCCCCCAGCAGCCCACGGAGGCCCACGCTGGAGCAGATCCCCACCTGCAGCACAGGGAGGACCCCACGCCAGAGCAGGGGGATGCCCGAAGGAAGCTGTGGCCCATGGGAAGACCAGGCTGGAGCAGGCTCCTGGCAGGCCCTGTGGACCCACGGAGAGAGGAGCCCAGGCTGGAGCAGGCTTGCTGGCCGGGCTTGTGACACTATGGAAGGGACCTGCGCTGGAGTAGTTTGTGAAGAACTGTAGCCCATGGGAAGGACTCACATTGGAGAAGTTCATGGAGGAGTATCTCCCGTGGGAGGGACCCCACATTGCAGCAGGGGAAGACTGCGAGCAGGAAGAGGCAGCAGACAGCGGGTGATGAACTGACCGCAACCCCCATTCTCTGTCCCCCTGCATCGCTGGGGGGAGGAGGCAGAGAAATCAGGAGTGAAGTTGAGCCCGGGAAGAAGGGAGGGGTGGGGAGAAGGTGTTTTAAGATTTGGTTTTATTTCTCATTATCCTACTCCGATTTGACTGGTAATAAATTAAATTAATTCCCCCGAGTCGAGTCTGTTTTGCCCATGACAATAATTGCTGAGTGATCTCCCTGTCCTTATCTCGACCCACGAGCCTTTTGTCGTATTTTTTTCCCCCTGTCCAGCTGAGGAGGAGGAGTAATAGAGTGGTTCGGTGGGCACCTGAAGTCCAGGCAAGGTCAACCCACCACATCTATCATCTATAGCCTTTTCTGCTCTTTATAATCTGAGGGTGAGAGAAAGTTCCTTGTGGAGTCTGCTTGATGGGAGATAACTGTCTTAAAGTGCAGATGAGCACAGTTCTGTGTTTCTTACTAAAGTCAGATTAACAAATAATAATTTTCTCAGTTCTTTTTAAGAATTCTTGGTTCAACAGCAATGAATGAAGGAGAACTATAAAAGAATTCAAAGTAGTTATTGTTCATGTCAGTAAAAATGAAACATGTTTTTGCTGTGCCTCTGGCCTCACCATTACCCAGCTGGTTCCTAATGCTGTTTCAGATGCTATAAAGTATTCCTACTAGTATCTGAAATAATAGTACAGAGTCATGGGATAACTCCCACATCACCATCGTTTTTTTCAACTTCTTTTGTGGTGAATGATTTCACGGACCCTGATGTGCTTAACCAGAATCAGAACCGTTTATTGCTTCTTAAGTCCCCCTTACATGCATTACAAGAAAGAGCTGAAGGGTCCCGTCACAGGGCATATTTACACAACCACCTCTTTGGTTCTCATGTTACACTGCTCAATACTCTAGGTTAGTTTATCACATTCTTGTAATTTTTCCCATCAGGCTGTCGGCCTCAGTTTCTGTTTTGCAGGATCTTAGAAGTCACGCGCATTACCTCTGGCTAGTCCTTTGTTATGTTTTGTTAATCTTAGCGTAGGTTTCTCATGCGAACAGCAGGAGGAGGAACAAGATGCACTGGTCTTTGATGTCTGTGGAACGCTGCCGCTTTATCTATTGCTGTACCATTTCCCACATCTCCCCCTTTTTTGTTTAACCAGACACCATTAACAACCACAGCTGTCATGACTCGAGCTTTGACCGTTTGTAATTGCTTTAGTGAGATCCACACAAACTGCAACATTAGGCATAAACAGATAAATATAAAACCAACAACAACTATAAAAATCCACATGTGCAGATTCAAACTCGAAAACCATGTTTTGAGATTTAGCCACTTAAGATTGTTGCTTAAATCATTGATCATACTTTTGAGTGAGTTTTTGTAGATTTTAGCTCACGTTTGTATTGCATTTTGGCAAGCTCCAATCCAAATTACAGCAGCTTTTAAGGCTTCAAGCCTTGCCAGTATTTGTTCATCAATCCTTTCCTGAACCTGTAATTCCTGTGTGACATTTGTCAAGGCCTCTCTCACCTCATGAGCGGTTTGTACAGATTTCACCAAAGCAGCAGTAGCCACTGAGGTGGTAATAAGAAAGACAACAGCTGAGATTATGCAGAAAATCAACCATCCAGGATTATACATGAGATATTATTAGTGGTAATATTTTGATGCATTACACAACTAGCATAAAAGGAACTAGTACTACTAATATAAAACAAAGTATTATTCATTGTAACATTTAAATCAGAAGCTAATAAAAGAACATATGGGTGTGAAGTACATACCATAACCTGTGGAGTGTGGAGAAGACTTAAAGTTATGCAACAAAGGTGAGTCCACAATGTGGGCTCACTACACTTGTGTGTGACCAGAGGATATGCACGTCACACACGCAACTAACCACAACATTCCTAAATCACTATTCATAATGATTAAACAGCTAAAATGATTAAACAGACTAAAATGATTAAACATAAAAATGTAAAATCAATAAACATAAAACGTAATAATTTTACAACTGTTATTATCTCTGTCTCCTGCTTCATCAGTCACCTGGTCGCATGATATATCTGTGCAACCAAGTAACTAATGATACAAGAAGTAGAAATGACTTATGCCAGTGTCGTGCAGTCTGTAGCCTGTATGTCCGCTTGTTGTTGGACAGTTTCTTGTGACTCTGCTTCTTCCAGCACAACGTACGGCTTCACGCGTTTGGACGGAATCCCATGGGGACCTGTAGGAAGAAGAATACACACATACCCTCTTCCCCAGGTTAGTAATTCCACTGGGCCTTGCCATTGTGATTCCCCTAACACTTTATACCACGCTTTTGATCAAGCCGCAAACAAGGGGCTGATGCTGAACTGCCGATCAGCCGCCATAGAAAACAGCTGATATCAGAGCGATTAAAAAAATTCAGTACATATGATTGACCTGTAGGAAGAAGAATACACACATACCCTCTTCCCCAGGTTAGTAATTCCACTGGGCCTTGCCATTGTGATTCCCCTAACACTTTATACCACGCTTTTGATCAAGCCGCAAACAAGGGGCTGATGCTGAACTGCCGATCAGCCGCCATAGAAAACAGCTGATATCAGAGCGATTAAAAAAATTCAGTACATATGATTCTTTATCTAATTGTTCTTGTGGAGAGATACCCACATTCCCCCTTTTTTGTTTTTCCAACATAGTCTTTAGAGTCCCATGTGCACGTTCAATGATTGCTTGACCTGTGGGAGAATGTGATATCCCTGTGGTATGCTGGATACCCCAGTCTTGCAAAAAGATGCTGATTATCCAGGAAGTATACGCAGGACCATTATCAGTCTTAATGTTCTTTGGCACTCCCATAGCAGCAAAACACCACAACCAGTGGCGTCTCACGTCCTGTGCCTTTTCACCTGCGTGCGCAGTAGCCATTAAAAATCCTGAAAATGTATCTACACTAACATGTACATACCGGAGGCGACCAAACATCGACATATGAGTAACATCGCTTTGCCAAAGTTCATTGGCCTGCAATCCACAGGGGTTTACTCCGAAACGTGATGTCACAGGAGTAAGACATTGACAATCTGGGC